AGATAAACAGTTAATAAGATTATGCGAAGGCACCTTTTTAGTTACACCCAGCGTCACTACCCCCTCCTACCCTGCGAATTTCGAGCCCCCCTTGCTTAAAACAAAGCGGTAGAGTAAAATCTTTCCCCTGCGCTGACAGCTGGCGGGAGAGCTCGTGGGTGATTCCCGTTTATATCATTAAGCAGAGGTTCAAACTCCAGTCCGAACACCACTGGCCACAAGCTTTGGGCTCTGCTCTCATGGAGAATATTTACTTATATAGCATATTTTATTTTAGATGAACTAGAAACAATGTTAAATTTATAAAGTTTTATTTTGAAATTTAAGTCAATAACAATTGGCTGGAGCCAGAGCCAATGGCGAAAGTCTTTGCGTGAGGAGACCCCGCCCCATTTTGGAGGTTCTGCCCACTTTTGGAGTTCACTCCCCATTTTGGAGATCTCCGGTCTGCAGTTATATCTACTTGGTTGTGACCAGCAGGCGCCACCAGCGGGTGGTGTTTCAAAGTGCTTCAAAACAGTGAATCATTTGGTGAAGCAATTAACGAAGCAAAGAAGCTTAGTTTCTCCCATCAGTAGTTAAAATGCACATTTTAAACTTTGTCAGTAGTGTTTCAATAAAAAACAAAATTATGAATGAATGAAATGTCATTCTTTTTGTGCTTTCAGCTGTTCTACTTTCAAGTGCCCATACCACAATGATGCTGCACTGCCATCTATAGACGTAGATCAGCATTACCGTCTCAAACGTTATGTAAATTACACTGACACTAGTGAGTTTTATAGAGAGGTCTACACAATAATTAATTCACTTACCTGTCCAGCACAAAGAAGGGACTTGTGCGTCACTATTTCTGTCGGTCATCTTTCAACCTTGTAAGCCGTACTGTTGTTTACGCTCGTTTTTTCGTCTTTGTCGGTCTTTCTGTCTTCAGACCTTTTCTGCTGCTTCTTCTTTACAGATACAGATTCTCCTTTTGTCTCCGCTGGTAAAGCACGATAATAAGCGTTGTGTATCACTGCCTAATTTTCGCGCTTTGTATCACCAAACAACACTACGCTACTAGCGTGTCTACAGAGCCAATGAGCGCCAAGATTCTCTCTGACATTTAGTGAAACACTGGAGACGACCCGCGCCGTTTATGAATTAAAACACTTTTTTTTTTTGTAGAAATCCATTATTATGAGTAGGCTACAATCTTCATCTCATGTGAGCCCAGATGACTCACAAGAACACAATTTATTTTTTAAAGGCAGAGTAAGTGATTTCTGGTAGCCAATGTTGATATTTGAAATCACCATTTGAAAAATCACATACCCTGCCTTTAATGTGTAAGACTTTTTAAAACAGAACCAAACTACTGAATGCGCCTGTTTTTTTATTTTATTTTATATACTCTTTTGTAGTTAAGGTCAGTTATCAGACTGCATTTGTTTAAAGTTCTACATACATAAACACAGATACACACACATCTTGTATTTATTTTTCAATTTTTTCATGTTACACCTGAACATTTGTGATCATATGTCATTTAAATAATGTTTCTTTTCCCTTTATTTCCTCAAAAGTTGTAAATAAATCCGTAAGGAAAACAGAATTGTTCAATTCTTTATGACGCTCAGTAAAATGTATTAGTCTATTTCTGTTCATTTAAATTAACATTATTTTTTTGTGTGTAATGCTGACACATTACCCAAAACAAATAAAGACTACAAAATATACTGTTATACATTCATAAAAATACTTACTTTATAGTTACTAATAACTTGCCATGTAAGTATACCTTTCTTTAAAATGATAGGTAGCCTGTAGTGTAACTACTTTAACTAGTGCATAGTTTGGGAAGCTACAGTTTCAAAAGTTGCTTCTGCAACACGGTCAGCGTGTTAACCTCTAAAGGCCACTAAGCATGACATTTCCACCTTAAGTGGCAGCGCTGAATTCACGCCACCTTAAACATCAAACCTGTCCTTCTCAGAAATTGCGGGAGACAAATGTGCTTGCATAGTCCCCATTTATGTACATATTCATAGACTCATTATGTACTGTAAATAGCACTGAAGGTCATGCATAAACAAATAGTCTGTAACCTCGTGATAAACACTCACAATCAACATACAATGAATGTCATCAGTTTTAAAAAGAGTACATTTATAGAATGTTCTGCATTTCACATTAACATAAATATACATTTAAAAAAAAAAAAAAGAGGTGGAAGAAAGAACATCAGCCAATCAGGCGTCAGGTGCAAAAGTCACATAGCAAAGACAATCATCTGCCTCTTCACATCTACCCAGAGACACAAGAAACAAAACGAATACCTGACAAAATTCTAAATGTGTTCCGGAATTTACAAAACACAACCAGCAACAATTCTTAAACGCATTTATATGTCAACAGATAAGTGCCATCTTCTCTCTTCATACTTGGTCTTTGATAACATGACAAGAAATCAACAACAAAAAAATCTTTTGGATGACAATAATTAAAATATATAATCAAATAAATAAGCAGCCCTTTGAAGGTGTACAAACAGAAGTTAAACGACTCATGAAAGAATCGCCGCACATGTCCCAGAGTCCCCGGCGCTATTAACAAACCTCACACGCATACAGATCAACACATCTGTCTGTTTACCATGAATCCCTCCCTCCAGACATCACTTGCCCTTGATATCTGATACGACTTGCACTCACGTTTTGTTTTGAACTTTTTACTATTTAACAACTTTTTGTCACTACAATTTCACAGTTGTAATTAATTAACCCCTATAGTCATAGTAAGATTCAGCACAGAATGTTTTAACCCAGTGAATTTGATCTGAATGAAAGTGGAAGAAGCTTATTCAGGGTTCAACAGAAGTTAGTGATGTGTTTTCCACTTAATAAAATCAAACAGAAATCAATTTTATAGTAATGCACTTACTATGGACGTCAATGGGGCAAGTGTTGCACTACAATAAAAATCAAATCACACAATTTTTTAAAGTATAACCACAAAACCTAAACATTATGCTGTTTATTAAATCATTTACTAATATTGTCAGTGTAATTTTATATTGTTGTGTTTCATCTGTTAAAACCATATGGAAATGTTTGGTCATGACAGTTGTTTGAATAGCACAAAGTTGGCAAGCATTTCTTTCACTCTAGTGTCATGTTTAGATAATCAATGTTTAAACTTTTATGGGATTATATTTCAAAAGTGTGTATTTTAGTGTTTATATTGCTGATATTTATCAAGATACTTATCTTGCGCCAAAGTAGTGTTATTGAAAACTTAATTAAAAGCCACTTTCAGTAACTGAAATAAGGTTGAAATAAAAGAGATATATTAAAAAAATAAAAATAAAAAAAACAATTAAAAATGAGAAAGGTTGACCTGGCAACTAACTGAAATAAGCTAAAGTACAAAGTTACTAAAACTAAAAATCGAATGAAAATAAGTTAAAGCACCATTGTAACGTGCTGCTTTTGCAAGGTTCCGTGAAAATTTTTCAGCATTTATTTTCCTTTTTCGCCCTAAAGAAGATATCACAGGTCCATCAAGTTCGTCGAAATTATCCATCCTCGATCTCTTTTAGTCAGCTTTGACGAAACTCCTCTCAGCTAGCACGTCTTTTCAAAGTGAAAGTAGCCTTGTCACCTGACCTGAATACAGCGCGCTGATTCGCTAAAATGGACTTATCGGCTTCTGTTCAAAAACAACGAGGGCGCTTGTCGGCTTCTGCAGTAAAACGTGAACTCGCGATGCCTTGAAAGTGGACAAAACCGGCTTTTTTTTGACAAAACGTGTTTAGGGTTCAGATCGCGCTATATGTGGAGAATAATGCACGGCAATCAGCTTCTTTTATTTGAAAGTGGCATTTATCGTTTTTTTTTTTGCAAATGAACTCTTCATATACAAATGGCAAAAGCACACGTGATGTATAACGGAAATAAAATTAAAACTAAAATTATAAAAAAAAGCTAATTCAAAGTATTATTAAATACTATAATAGTATATAAATAATACTAAAAAGGCACTGCCTCATAGATTTCTATTTTAAATACATTACTGTAGATGCAGTTTTTGTTTGTTTTTCCAAACTGAGGTACAAGTAAAATGATTGTTTTACTTTTTAACTTGTTTAGAACCTGAATTATTCTTTTAGCACCACTAATCGGTTATCCAAAATAACAGACAGGGGGAAAAAAAGAGAAATTGACAATTTAATCTGTAAAGGACATTTTGGATGACACTGTTGAATTATTCCTCCTCCTAGTCCAGCATGATTTGTGTATTTGCTTTGAACAGGGAAAAACAGCATTTAAACTAGAGTTGATTTAGATTTAGGGTTGACTGATTGTAAGTGTGCAGTGTGTACAGATTCAATGATAAGTGAACACAGACACACTCCAGTAGAGTGAATGACTGTTTGAGCACACGACTAACACTACATCTCCCACCAGCAGAGTATCTACACGATTGCAGGCTGTAAAAAAAAAAAAAAAAAAAGTATCAACAATATCTATACTTTGGATTCATGCATAATAAAAGAAAAGATTTGCTGACATATCTGCTGAGAGAAAGCCCGAGGCAGAAAATGACATCTAGAAATTCTTATCAAATCTGCAAGGAGTGATTTTATTAAATAAGACTGCGACCGCTAGAGCAGGTCATCTGAAGTGAACTGTGAGAGATGTGAGGTAATCATTCTAAAATAAATCTCAAACTGAACGAGGCCTAAATAGATGGAAAAATGCTGCATACTGAAAACTACGATGTAGAAATCATGAATTATAAAAGCACATTTTACAATAAGGTTCAATTTGTTGCTTCTTTATTATTCTTGACTAATGTTCATTTCTACATATACAAAAACTTTTTTAAATTATATATTTATACAGTGGGTACGGAAAGTATTCAGACCCCCTTAAATTTTTCACTCTTTGTTATATTGCAGCCATTTGCTAAAATCATTTAAGTTAATTTTTTTTCCTCATTAATGTACAGTTGCCAAAAAAAACCCCAGAACTGTTATTTCTGAATCACGTCACTATATAAATGTGAACATGCCCATTTATAACAGCTGAACAACCAAGATGGTTAACTAGTTGTCTGATAAGCGCTAGTTTAGAAATTAACTTTCATGTTCCAGCACACAACCCCCAGATCCAACAAAAAAAATTACAAAGAAAAAAATAAGTGCATTTATGTCACTGCCCCTGTGTACGCAGTAAAGCTGATGTTCAGGAGTATTAGAAACACAAAAACTCACTCAACCTGATAAATCAAGCACTAGAGTACTGCACAGTTATGTTGATAGAAGCCACAACTCCACACCGACCTGAAACCAGTTTCGCCTTTCCTCTTAAAGCAGTTTAAACCACTCGTGAATACAGAACTCTGGCTCTGGGTCAAGTGAAAAAGGCCATTTTAACTCCGAGTCTCCTCTCATCTCACTTGTCTTGGCCTTTTTCTTCAGCGCCGCGTCTTTCGCGTCGGGCCCTGCATTCTGCGCAATCCTGACCTTCATCTCCCCCGTGCTCTTCCTCATCCTCTTCGTGAATAATCTCCAACTCCAGGCGGCCGATGTAAAGCGATACCGCGCACAGCCAGAAGAGGGCGGCGACGGACACCAAGCCCGCATGGAGCAGCACAGTGAGCCGAGAGAGGAGCATGAGCCTCCTCAGAGTCAAAAGACTGGTCACGTACGACGCTCCACCGAACGACACGCACACTCCACCCAGGATGAAGAACACTGGGGGAGGAAAGGAAGAAGCCATTCAAAACATGACTATGATGTAAAAGAAAAACCGACGGGCTGAGTGGAAAAAGATGCAGTACCATATCCAGCCTCTCGGCCCACATCACTCTGCGCAAACGCAATAACACCGATTCCTGTTGCCAGGAGACCATTCCGGAACCAGGACAAAAATCCTGAAAACAAATAAAAAAAATAAATGAAATAAATAAACATAAATATTGCTTGAGTGTAATGTTATAATTCACCTTGTAGCTGGTTGGTTTGGTTCATGGCTTATAACTCTTTTAAAAAGACCTTTTAAAAATCTTTTTGGGAAAAATACTTCCAGAACCAAGGTCGCTAAAAAAGTGGGCAGACACTGTTGCGCTCTATTACAACATCTTTGGGTTAGTTCACCCAAAAATAAATGTTCTTGCATCATTAACTCACCCTCATGTCATTCCAAACCTTTATGACTTTTTTCCATTCAACACAAATTGAAAATTATAAATGTGTTTGTTGCTCATTTCCAATAAATTACAATGAACTGAAGATTTCATGCTTCAAAACGATGCCAAAACTGTACAATAATATTAGTCTACATGACTTGTGCAATCTATTTCAAGTCATCCTAAGTCGTGTGAGAGCTTTGTGTGAGGAACAGACTGAAATTTAATTCATTATTCACTGATAATCTTGACTGAATAATACAGACCATTTTTGTGAGATTAATCAGCAGTTAATTAAAAAGATTTGACTCTAAATAGTGAGTCATTCACAAATTGGGCACAAACTGACCTTGAGATGGACTTGAGAGCTATCGGGTGACCAGAGGATTGTGTACAAATATGGTTGTTATTTTTGAGCTTGACCGTCCTACTACTTTTCACTGTTTATTAATAATAGTATCCAAAATCAAAAAGTCAGGGAAACAAACAAACAGAAGAAAGGCAGTCATAGTTTGGAGAGACATGAAGGTGAGTAAATGATGACAGGATTTTATACATGTCTGATTTGTGTTTCATTAATGCTGGATAGAAGACCTCACCTGTTTCATGAGACTTCCGCAGCATCTAGAAAATAAAATAAACTTGTATGATCTGTCAGTGTTTATAAAGAGGGTTAATAAAGAAAAAAAATATATACATATGGTCCTACCATTATTATTATTATAATTATTGATATGTATTTTTTTAGATCAGTGCAAATTCGACAACACCCCATGTCATAATTCTGAACGAGTACCATCGTAGAATCACATTCATTGGTTTACCAAGTGAATAAAATAGTCATGAACAAAGTAATTATGTAACACTACCACAGTACCACCAGCACTTTTGGTAAATAGTGTAATATATATACATATATATAAAAAGGAACATTTATAAATTTAAACATCACATAAAGTAATACTCGGCAGTTAAAACAAGAGCACCAGAGAGGGAGTGTTTGTGTTTACCAGCGCATCAGCTTTATCTAGTTCAGTGATGTACTGTTGCTCCAGCGCTCGTGTTTTGTTCAGCGGGGTTTTCTCCGCCGCCCGCCGCGCGCTGCCCCGGTGAAGCGCTCGCACCGCAGCCCTCACATACTGCAGCACCGGCCGCCGCGCAACCTGAGCAAACCGCCTGCACGTTAACCAACTTATGGAAGCCATTGCTTATGCTGAGGGAATCAACTGAAAACACGACCTTTACCCGACCTCTGAACTTCGACACTGCAAACGAGTGCGCATAAAGACGCCGCCGCGGATTTCAGTGGCGCCATCTATCGTTACTTCCTCATGCGACGTTATAATGAGTTCGTATTTAATATCACTGGGACGTTGAGTTCTTTAAAAAATTATTATTATTATTTTTTTTGACATTTCTTTGTCAGATACTATATTTTAAAATGCATAATTTTTAAGGGTTTAAGGGTTTTAAAGTACAATCCTAGGAAGATGCGATGGACATTGTGTCCATAAGGTGACGCCAAAACGCAACAATTATTATTTTTTTTTTTTTGACATTTCTTTGTCAGATACTATATTTTAAAATGCATAATTTTTAAGGGTTTAAGGGTTTTAAAGTACAATCCTAGGAAGATGCGATGGACATTGTGTCCATAAGGTGACGCCAAAACGCAACAAAAAAAATTATAGTGTACAAAACTTTATGAAAGCCCATTTCCGCCACATAAAAACCGCCGCTTTGGTAGCCTAAATCATCATTTTGACATAAGAAGTTATGACTCATGACTTAAAAAAAAACTAAATTATTAGATACTAAGTCATTATGAGAGGGAAAAGTTAATAGCCTATGAGAGTCAACACCTTTTGTAATTTTTTTGTCATAATTTTGAATTATGTCATAATTATGACTTTTTATCTCCTAAGCATGACTTAGTATGTAATGATTTTGACTTTAGCTCATAATAATGACATAGTACCTTATAATTTAGACTTTTATGTCATGATTTACCAAAGCATGATTTTTTTCTTCTAACCATTGGGCTAATAATTACAACAAAATTCCAAAGTAACGTTGACAGATTTATATAAAACAAAATAAAATGAAAATATAAAATAAAATGAACAAATTAAATGGTATTTAGGTGTAAACTGCATTTTTGTTTTGAGAAAATGTTATAAACGACTAGCTGCCTTGCAGAATGTTTTGTTAATTTAATAATTTCTGTTACTATGATGCATATTTGGATGCATACAGTTAATCACTTAAAATATGTGATTAGGTAACAAAATATCAAGCCAATGACATTTGTTTATAATAAAGAATAACGGAAGCACACTTTTAAAGCAAAACATTTCAAACATAACACAAAAATAAGTTTATTAACTGGAAACCCAGACTGTAGCTGTATTTCTGAACTGTGGTCTTAGACGGTTATTAGCTTGTTTACCAATCCAGAAACCTGTTTGACCACCTTAAGATTGTATGACTAGCTGCTAGCAACTGCATATTTTTAGTTGTTGTTGCAAAACTCTTTTTAAATGTCAAAATGCTTTCTAAGGCCACTGTACTGTACATACTGTACTGTAATGAGAGTAAGGGTAAAATAAGAAAGTCATTCAGAGTGTGTTGTTTATAGCATATGCATGTGTGTGTTTGAGCGGCCTCTTCCGGCCTGCCGCTCTCTCACTGCAGAGGCCTTTTGTCTTGATGTGATCCTCTGGGATTGTGGGTCACCACGCCTGAACAACCTGATGGTCATATAGCGTGAGGAGCACAGAGAGGAAGGAGGGGGTTGCAGGAAAGACGGGACGGTGTGTGTATTTGTATGTACGTGTGTGAAGAATGCATTCCGCCTTTGATATAAAGAGTAACTCGGGTTGTCACGCTATGATGCTGTTCCTCATGCAGACTGCAGACGGTTTCTTGTCAAGGCATGTTTTATTACGCCTGCCAATTTAATGTTCATTAAGTGTGCATGTGCACAAGGACCAGCATTTAAACAATGATCCACCCTACAGTCTACCACAAACTCAGCCGTAAAGTATGTGTGAACCTAAGGTAAATCATAGATTCATGTGCAGTTATATGGAAATAAATAATATTATGTTGACTTCTAAAGACACTTTTTTTGACCTATTCAGTGCTTTATTCAATTCAATAATGTATACTTCGAATGTTCTTCATTTGAGGGCTTTTCTCACCATATGTTTAGTTACATTTTTTTTTTTAAGTTAAGCTTTTGCAATTTTATTGGACAGGACAGTAGGAGAAGAGACGAAACAACTCTAAATCGTATTATTATTTTAAATAAACAGGTACTGCGAGAATGTAATATGGTAACATGGACATAAACATTAGGATTTCATGATAGAATTTAATTGGTTGCATTATTTATTTATTTGTTTGTTCGTTTTTTTGTTTATTAATATACAAGTAGGGGAGATCAGTGATAATAGTTTCATTAAATGCTTAATAAATGTAACACGAATAATAATGTAATTCATAATGCACTCACAGTGACCATATCAGATACACTCTACCATTCAAAAATTAGTCTGTTATTATTATTATTACATTTTAATTGTACTAATATTTTTAATATTTATTTTTACTGTCAATAAAGGCTAGACTTAATTAAGAATTAAACATTAAAGTGTATTTAATATACAGTGACATGCGAAAGTTTGGGAACCCCTTGCAGAATCTGTGAAAATGTGAATAATTTTAACAAAATAAGAGAGATCATGCAAAATGCCTGTTATTTTTTATTTAGTACTGTCCTGAGTAAGATATTTTACATAAAAGATGTTTACATATAGTCCACAAGACAAAAAAATAGCTGAAATTATTAAAATAACCACATTCAAAAGTTTGGGAACCCTTGGTTCTTAATACTGTATGTGGTTGCCTGGATGATCTACCACTGTTTTTTGTTTTGTGATGGTTGTTCATGAGTCCCTTGTTTGTTCTGAACAGTTAAACTGAGCACTGTTCCTCAGAAAAATCCTCTGTGTCCTGCAGATTCTTCAGTTTTCCAGCATCTTTTGCATATTTGAACCCTTTCCAGCAGTGACTGTATGATTTTGAGATCCATCTTTTCACACGGAGGACAATTGAGGGACTCAAACACAACTATTAAAAAAGGTTCAAACATTCACTGATGCTCCAGAAGGAAACACGATGCATTAAGAGCCAAAAGAAAACTTTTGAACAGGATGAAGATGTCC